CCACACCAGCCGACCAACACCACCAAACAACCACCACCACCACCCACCATCACAATCACCACCACACACCACTACCACCACCACCGACCATCACCACCACCAAACAACAACAACAACACCTACCTAACCAACAGGTACCGCCAGCAGAGCAGCACCACCACCACCACCACCACCACCACCACCACCACCACCACCACCACCACCACCACCACTCCAACCACCACCACCACCACCACTAGCACTACCACTACAATCACCAACAACAACAACAACAACAACAACAACAACAACAACAACAACAACAACAACAACACCACCGCCACCGCCACCACAACCGCTACCGCCACCACAACCGCTACCGCCACCACAACCGCTACCACCAACGTCAACGCCACCGCCGACGCAACCGCCCCAAACGCCACCGCCGCCACAACCACCGCCACAGCCAGCGGCACAGCCACCGCCGCCGCCGCCGTCGCAAGGGCAATACCCTAACGCGATAGTAACCGCCGACAAAAGCTAATCGTAAGCGAGGCTATTGACGTGAAGTCTTTACATAACTGTTGTTATGGTTACCTTTGAGTCGAATATTTAAATGTGCGCCTCGTTAATATGTACATAAAGAACAGGAAAAAGAATGAGAGATGGGGCAAGTGGACAGCGTATCCGATTGGGTCACCACAACCCATAGCACGCAGCCATGCAGCTATGCAACACATAACGCATCATCCGCAGTATTTTAACGCGTGCATGCCCACGTTTAAATTATGCATTTTAATTAGAAACTATTACCATATTAATTAACAGTCATCCGTGTAACAAGCATCTTGTTAGACGATTATTTACAATTATTCTGTCATATGCATCGCTTATTTTACTCTCCGTCATGTTCGCCTATATCATCGCGAGTCGAGGGATGCAGAGCGTCTGGTCACGCGACTTCATCTTTTACGCAAAGTGGGGTCGCTAATAGTTCAGTATCAAGCCAGTACAGTCCTCCGCAGAGATGTCGTCATGCTCGCCCCAAGGGAAGGTGGAGGTAGGGGTGGCTTCCATACACACACAGGACATGTCAAGCCCATTAGCACGAGTCATTCTAAATATGCCATTCGCATTGCGAGTTCTGCCTATGTGACGTAAATAAGCGACATGTCGTGAAGTCTCCGAGTTCCAGGGGCGTATGGTCAAGAACCCGCGTGACATACGCGCATACCACGTTTATAATCAATCGACATAATGGGAGTCATTGAGTGTTGAATATTGTATGGTACTTAAACAAAACTACATGCCGTACTCGAAATCGACGCTTACAGAATGCTTGTATTTTAATATAAATATATATAATATATGTGTGTATAATCAAGAGCTAACAATACCTTTATTTGCCTTAATACTTTTATTACATTTATTTTAGTATTATTAGCTCTTGATGTATATATATGGCCAATACGCTGAGCGTTCTTGTACGTATACGTTATAGTATTCTTGTGCACCAAACTAAGAAGAACAAAGAAGAAAATAACAATAAATAAATAATATTAACTTGAATAAATAATAGAGTAAATAATAAATTACAAGCGAAGACTAATGTAATTTATAACACGTAACGTGTAATAAATACACGTTACAAGCGAACACCCATAAATTAGCAAGCTGCAGACGATGTAATGTAGAAGGCGTCGCGGCAATGCGTCTGTATAATGCATAATAATGTAAATAATAATAATATATTATATAATAATATAATATAATATAATCTAATATATATATAATATAATATAATATATATATAATATAATCTAATCTAATATAATAATAATATAATGTATGTAATAATAATGTATAATGCGTATGTATGTATGGCCTGCGAAAAGACTCTCGATGCGACTGCGAGATATCTTGCTCTGTTTTACACTAGCACTGCCAGCATGTGTGCAGTATGGGAATGCACACACCTCTGTCTGTACGAGTGCATGAATCTCGCATCGTTATATAACCACACGCCGCTCCTTATTATATTGCAGCTCATCAAAATGCGCAGAGACAGCAGTTACGTGAACATCCTATTTCCTGCTGCGGTGAAATTCATTTCTCCCAAAAATTGTTTGCTCGAATTGAGAATGCCCGGGTATTTACTGATCGGAGTTGAATTCCATTACATTGACGAAGAGTAGAACTTGACAGGACTAGGCAGCATTGACGAGCAACGTGGCCTGCTGCATTTCTTTTGTCGTCGAACTATTGAATTCGCGTAATTAATACTTTTCGTGCGTGTCATATTTAATAGTACATGTTGTGTTTGTATATAATATATAGTATGTGAAGAACCGCTCGGCGCTCAAGTTCGAAGTTTTAAATGAGCGCGAATAGCTAGCGGCTCACCGATGAGGTTAAATCAGGAACCGCGATTAATTTGGGTTCTGTTTTTTGGTTCTGTTAATTGGGTCCGGAGAACGGTTAATTATCATGCAGACATACGCTGCTCCTATATTCTCAGGCACCTCACACACAAACACGCACACAGACAAGGGCGCGCGCTGTCACGCACGCCCGCAGATGCACGCCTGCACCCGCACGTACGAATACATACACGAACGCATGCACGAATATTCACGTACGCACGCACACACGAACGCGACGCACGCACACGCACGCACGCACACACGAACGCGACGCACGCACACGCACGCACGCACACACGAACGCGACGCACGCACGCGCACACACGCACACACGAACGCGACGCACGCACGCACACGCACGCACATACGAACGCGACGCACGCACGCACGCGCACGCACGCACGCGTCATCACTTATACTTATAGGTGGGGCGGAGTGTCGTCACTTCCCCTTAGCAATACGTCCGGTGAGCCGCGCCGTTAAAAAAACAAAGCGCGAATCAGCTGGGAGTGTCTATATTCAAGCCGGTACGGGAGATGACGGTACGCATATATTTGCTAATATATTGACTAATCGTGCGTCAATAAACTCAATATTCACAGAGAGTATAGCTAAGACATGTGTCTATAGGTATCTAGAATACATTTAATTATGCAAATGATCTCCCGTATCGGCTTGAATTCATACTCTCTGTGAATATTGAGTTTATTGACGCACGATTAGTCAATATAGCAAATATAAAATTATATATGCGCGCAGAAGCGAATTACAGATGATTAAATTTCTAAAATTCTAGATACCTATAGACACATGTCTTAGCTATATGCTCTGTGAATATTGAGTTTATTGACGCACGATTAGTCAATATATTAGCAAATATATGCGTACCGTAATCTCCCGTACCAGCTTGAATATAGACACCGCCGAATGTAACCCGACCAGGCTGTGTGACTAACGTCAATATACATTCATAGGTATAGGTATAGTCATAGGTATTCTAACCCTAGCAATACCGTTTCTTGGAGCTACCCCGAATGTAGCTCTAGTACTATAGCCCGCATACAGTTGCCGCTAGTTGCTGACGATAGGGAAAATTCAGTTTAGATTGACACTGCAGCTTGAACTTAAATTACGTAGACATCTAGTTTGATTAGTCTAGACTCTAGTAAAGGCTGATATTGATAAACCACAAGCCAAGACTTCGCTCCCACATGCATGCAAACCCACTAGGACAATTTACTGACATGCAACTTGGCAGTGATTCTAGAATTATCAATCGCTGTAAAAATTGTTATGAAATCGCTTCGTCTGCGGGAATGTGCAACTGCAACCTGTAGCGAGTCTGGTCACTTGTGACGAGTTAATTGCAAGAAATCCAAATCGCTCCCAAATTGCTCTAGAATTGCTTCTAAATCACATGTATAAGCACACGCGGTGACACATCGACCGATCGCTTGCGGTTGCAGGTTGCAGCGATGAGCAACCAAAAATCGCAGGCATGCACTAGGCTTTAGGTCGACAGCAACGCAACTGACAGCGACGAGCAGCGATTGACACTAGAAGTTGTAGAAGGCGCTTAGGTCGAAGCGACGATCGCCTATAGATCGCGCAACTAAATAAGTTTACACAACTTGTTCAATGTTGCTGTGCGCATGTTGTGTAAATGTCTGTATGCATTGTTTCATTCGCATTTGAATCTCGTCGCAGCAATCACAAGGCAGCTTTGTCAGGTAAAACAATGCAAGCGATGAGTGAAACTAGATTTAGCATGACCCCGCTGTTTTCGCGATGAATGAACTCAGCGATTGCGCTATAATGGGGCCACACTGTATTCATCAGTTGGTGATACAGCATTACTACACAAGTGCAATTTTTGGTTTGTTATTTGTATTTAATGACTGCCTCGTTTTGTATGCTACTGCTCTTTTTTTGCTTTAAATTGCTTTAATAGTAATTATAAGTGCAATGTGTTTGGTATGTGCTTAATTATTTACTACATTTTGCCCCTAATTATTTACTTGTATATATAAATATTAATTCTTGTAACAGAATGGGTAAAAAATCAGCAGAAAAAACATACCCAGTATTTCACACTGAATACCATGTTTTTTTTAAATGTGAAATGTCTTTACATTTGACTCTATTGAAAAGACCCGTAATTCCTGTTGAAACAAAATTTGGTATAAATAGATGTTAAACAGATACAATCACATGATTTCAAAGTAAAATAAATGATACAGTTCTCTAACAGATAACAGGAAATTAATACAGTAAAACTTGCATAAGACGCCAATTCGCTTAAGTCGTCATGGAAGTCAAAGTTCACATTTTCTCTAATGATAAATTCATATGAATACCCCCGCCAAAGTCGTCATTTACAAGCCGTCATTATGTAAAAGTCATCACCCTCCCATGTAATACAAACAACAGTAAAATCCTATCCGTATATATATATCCTGTCTAAGTGGGAATGGAGGCAGTTTCTTCGAGAGAAACAAAATCCTCGATGACATCGAGCCCTTCAGGATCTTCAAACTGAAGACGTTTGGTGCATGTTGTCTTCAAGTCGGTGTCCTTGTGAGTCGTGACGCTTGTATCTTTTTAAACTGTGTTCTGCTCTGTGTTGACTGTTGGGTCTGTGGGAGAAAATTGATGGGAGATAATATGGATATAGAGAATCTTTCGATGGCCGTTCTATAAAAAATGAAAGAAAGGTTTTTGTAAATTATCTCTGCAAAGGACTATATTTTATTATTTATAGCCATGAAGAAAAATAATTCCAAAATTTTAAATATATATCTACACTATAATCTTTTACTTAAGCATTCAGATCCACTTGATTCATTTCTTCACGCTCAGCTAGAATTATTCGATTTTCTGTTCTCTGGTAGCAATGACAGCTCTACTATAATTTTAGACTAATTTATTGGTCTAGTACTAGTAGTAGTAGTAGTAGTAATTAAGTCTAGACTGAAGCTTGGAAATGGGATCTCTGCACGTGTAATTTTGATTCCCAAGCTGTTTTAAAATTATCTGATTCTAAGAGTAAGAAACAGAAACCGAAATGAATCTTACCTAGTCTGTGGCTGTGACAAAGTGGTCAGAACAAACGGTCCTTGACCCGGCGGGACTCCAGTGGAAGCCGTCTTCGTTCTCCTTACTAATTGCTGTTAGCCATCTGTCTCTCCTCTCGGGCTACGGCAGCTCAAAAAATAAGTGTTTTTTGTCACTTGAAAGACTGTGATTGCGGCATCCAAACACCACATAATTCCTTGGCACTATGCGCTGCGTGCATTGAGCGGTGCGTTACTACGATTTGTTTTCATCGGCTCGTATCTACATCCGGTCAAATAGTCAAAAGTTCCCGGATGTCCGCCCCCACCTATAGAGGAATATCTGCATTTCGGCTCGGCGCAGCGCACGATGACGATGAGACGTGACCTTGTCAATCATTGCCGTCACGAACCATGCCAACGTGCACGAAGTAACGACGCGCGCGCGTCTGCTGCGCGCAGATTGATGCAGAAGAACGTGACACCGGCACGAATCACGCACTTATTCGGCAATCGATTGGCGCGTCTCGCGGGACTCCCCATCTGAATTCGTTGACGATTCTTGATTTCCCCGTGGACGTGATAAAACGGAACATTATTCAACACTGCCCCAATTTTCGCTCCGATTTGCCTGTCATTCAGCATTGCGCGCACAACGACGCGCATGGACGACCGAGCGCATTTTCCATGAGTGAGAACCCTTCGCCGTGATAATCGATACGCGATCGAGATTAATCGACATTTCCACTCGTCTCGTAGACCGACGCCAATTCTCTGCGTGGTTGACCACGTAGGGTATACGCCGGCACTGTGTGAGATCTCAACGGCATACGGCGTCAGTCTACTTGCCTCTCGCAGCGCAAAAAAAATTCATGAATCATGATCATTTATTTCCCGTCCCGCCTCCCGGCCAGCACGCGTTGCGTTCGATTGCCCGACTTCTCCATCACCGTCGCCGTCGGCGTTTGTCGAGAATCGACGTGATAATCGGCTCATTTACATCGTGCATAATTAACGCTCGCGGCGTCCTAATGCGTAATGATCGACGAATCATGGTCGCATATGAAAGGATTATCAACAATGCGGCACGACGGGAGACCGCATCCACTCCACTACCGCGCGACGAAAACATGAATAAACATGATAAGGTGTCTATTACCATATACGGTACGCGACGGTGCATAACATTAGCTATTGTGGCGTTACGTGCTCCGAATCGCCGGTGTGACTATCGCTTACACGATCCATAACGCTACACGTTATACACAGCGAGCTTCATTCAGAACAACGCAGGCAACGGTTAGGCACTTGGGCTGATACTCCATTAGATGTGTTTCCAACTTTAATGTCATTAATGGTCATAATAACACACACACACATGTATATATATATATATA